TCACATCTGTCACAAGAATGCATCACACCTAGCAATGGGATCACTCACACCTCCTCACTAAGATAAAAGTTTCTGTCCTTCCCTGCTCAGAGTTGCTCTGACAACTTTCCTAAATCACTCCTTAGCAAGGACCTTAAGTCAGGAGCTCTCTTAGAGGACTCTCAGAATGTTTGTGAATACAGCCCCTGGAGCTTTGTTGTCACCATAAGTTTGTCCAGCACATAACCCCCCAAAAACTACAACGTGCACTTTGGTTTTACAAACATATGACGTATTAATCAGTGAGTTTTAGAGGCACTGGTACGTGGATTTTGTTACCTTTGGACCTTCCTGTTACCAGTCTTTATGCTAAGCTAACTAGCAGCTGGCGCTACTGTAGCATCATATTTAGCAAATAGACTTGAGAGTGGTATTTATCTCCCAGTAATCTTACATGTTTACATGCTTCTACAGTTCTAATGTTTTAATTTTGTCACTTCATTTAATTTGATAAAGTAAGATGTTCTTTTTTAATTGAAAAAACTTTTTCCTCCTCTAACCTTTCAGCACAACACGATACAGCTGCTCCACTGTTACATCTAATTTCAGTTTGTTGACACAGTCTCTGGTGCACCAAAGGCTAAGAGTGTTTAGTGCTACAGAATACATTAACATACAAGTAAACACAACCGTTTTATTTCATGCTATGCTGGCATCAAGGCGTTAATTACTAATTTAATAGGTACTCGGATCAATGCTCAGCATCTGCAGAACCACTTAATGAGGTACTTGAATCAGTTATGAAAGAACGGAAATTCAGCTGCTCGAGCAAAAAAATGTCATAGATGGTTGATTTCATTCGAGTCTTTTCTTGTCTGATGTGTTACTTGTTCCTTTTTACAGTATATGGTTACCAACACTTCATCCAGGTTTAATGTTAAAACTCTCCAGGTGCCTCATCTATCATGCAGTGCAACACTCTCACTTTCTCCTGCACACACACACACCTATATACCCAGAGGACGGTATGGCATTTGTAACAGGTCACACAGGAGTATTACTCCCTTCCACTGGAGATGATGGACAGGAAAGTACAAATCGTTCACTCCCTGTTGTCTTCCTGTTGGTTTGAAGGTCGCACAGTCTCTCGGGAGACATGATAGATGTACAACAGTCACATCTCTCTTGTCAGCTGACATTTCACACTCGTACAGAATTGATTTCACAAGCATCGGCCCCTCGGTGATAATAAAAATACAAACTTTACTAGCTCACGTGTAGAGGCAGCCTATATGCCACATATGGTTGGGAAACAGCTTTACGGGAATGTTTTACATTCCTGCGGCTGCCTGTCTATATGCATGAATAGAGGAGACCAGTAATAAGACTCTGGCAGAGTTTCTTGGCTACATAATAAAAGCTCATTTTGTTGGAGCAAAATGGAGAGGTTGAAACATCAGTTTGCTAACGAGCAACATCTTTATCTAATTGATTTTTTCCAATCTAGTGCTGATTTACTTGCTGAAGTAAAATCTCATTATATTCAACTGAAAGCACAAATGTCCTGATGTACATCACAGTAATCTGTTTGTTACAAGCTTGTAGAAACACTTGACATTTCCATTTATTTGCTGCACAAGAGGTTTGAAAAGGCTTTTTTTCCCAAATAAATTAAAACCCAATCATACTTTTGACAGGTGTAGCATTGGATTTTTTGGTGACATTTTCACAGTCCCTCTGAAGTCAGTCTGATATAAAACATGAAGGGGGTGGGTAAAGGGTTAAAAAACAAGATTTCTCATGTAAACACACAAGAATACACAAAATGAGCAAAAACAAGGTACCATAATTCAGGGACTGATTTTTGCCGGTCAAAAAACCTAATGTTTCTCCCATTTGAGACAACATTCAGGGCCTGCGCATGCACATACATCACAGTATATCTGTAATCATATGGCAAGTCAGCTAGCCAGTTAGTGGGAGCGGCGATGTGAGTATTTGAGAATTGAAAGTGGTTTAATCTGCTGGGCTCATGTGAGCCGAGAGACCGGCAGCCGAGTCGCATAATCCTTTCTCCTCTACCCCAGATGATGTAAGAGAGGAGAGAAGAGGAGAGGAGAGGAGATATATTGGCAGAAATACAATATAATATAATAAGTTTGTTTTATTTAGTGTATAATCACCTGAAAATACGAATCGTCATGTTTTAGTTACTTAAGAATGAGCCGTTTAGATCTACATTAGAAGCAGGTCCTCATCCACGGCATTCACCCTGCTACATCACCATGTTTCTACAGTTGCCCAGAACGGACCAACTGAACACTGGCTTTACATAGGGCTATTTGGGTTTTCTCACGTTCCACCAACATAGATAGCAGCCCCTCTGTGACGACCCGAACAGCTTTAGAAAAACACAGATTTTAATGTGAAACTGCTTTTTTCAGTGTTTTTACCTCTTTAAATCACGATTTCTGATTGTTTTGGAAAAAAAGAGACCTTCACAGATAATTCGGCTCCCAGTTAAAACTTTCTGAACGTTTGCAAATTATCAGAGAAGAAAGGCAAGCACACACAGCAGATGCCACCAGCCAAACAACATTGAAGAAACACTGATTTTAACATGAAGCTGCTTTATTTAGAGTTTCTACCTGTTTAAATCACCACATCTGATTGTTCTGGAAAAGAAAGGACCTCTGCAGATAATTCGGCTCCCAGTTAAAACCTTCTGAACACTTGGATCTTAAGTTATCAGAGAAAAAGGTGAGCACACACAGCAAATGCCAGGCTAGCAACCTGTCTGTGACAAGCCAAACAGCATTGAAGAAACTCTGATTTGTAACATGAAACTGCTTTATTCAGTGTTTTACCGCTTTAAACCACCAGGTCCATGTGTTTTGGAAAAGAACGGACCTCTGCAGATAATTCAGCTCCCAGTTAAAACCTTCTGAACATTTGCATCTTAAGTTATCAGAGAAAAAAGGTGAGCACACGCAGCAGATGCTGGGTTAGCGACCTGCCTGTGACAAGCCAAACAACATTGAAGAAACTCTGATTTGTGACATGAAACTGCTTTATTCAATGTTTCTACCAGTTTTAATAACCTGGTCCGTTTGTTTTGGAGAGGAAGAGATCTCTGTGGATAATTTGGCTCCCAGTAAAAACCATCTTAACATTTGGACCTTAAGTTATCAGAGAAAAAAGGCGAGCAAACACAGCAGATGCCAGGCTAGTGATCTATCTGCGACAAGCCAAACGGCATTGACGAAACTCTGATTTGCGCCATGAAACTGCGTTATTCAGTGTTTCTACCAGTTTTAATCACCTGGTCTGTTTGTTTTGGAGAGGAAGAGATGTCTGTGGATAATTCAGCTCCCAGTAAAAACCACTGAAGGAATCCTTACCAGGAGTTCACTATTCGCCCATTAAGGAAGTTTCAACTGTTTGCAATCTGTAATCGTCACTGCTAGACGCCACTAAATCCTACACACTGCTTCTTTAAGTAACTGAACTGTAAATCTTAAAAGGATATTTAGGCATTATTGTAACTGATGCCTTTAATTTTATATATTTCAGACTGACTGACACATACAGTTAATAAACTAAAGCATTAAAGCCACTTCAGTGGTTATCACTACTCTTATGTTCGCAGTTTTCTTTGCTTTTATCACATTACGTTTTACTGCCTTCTGTTTCGTCTGCACTTTTGATGTCTTAAGTTGCCTTAGTGTTTTTATTGTGGTCATGTGTTGTGTTTTCATGTTTTCATGCTGCCTTGCTGCATAAATAATCCTCTCTTGTGAGACAATACAGATGTGAACTGAACTAACGTACCATGTCATTAGGGTAAATACTTGTAAGCTTCTTTCTGACCAACATATTTTTAGACTCCCAGCGAGCCAAATCTAGCTATTTTATCCTACAGAGATAGTCATGCCGGCTTTCACAATGGCGAGACGTGCTGTCTGCAAAAAGGAAAATGTAATAATGTTGCGGTAATAACAGATATAGATTTTGCCAGTTACTGTAGCTGAATTCCTCCGCTGTGTGGGTTGCATAGCAGCAGACATAATTTCTTATGATTATGATGTATTCGCCTTGGCCGTATCACTCAGGGTTACAAGATCACTTAATACATGACGGAGAAAATAAACTCCAGTTGTGGTCACAATGTATTCCTAAACATCCCCTCATCTCACCCTCATCCATTTCTGCCTCAAGTCTGGCCTGATTTATCCCCTCTGTGCTCTCTTCATCCATTTAATCCCATGTACCAGGGTTGGAAATAATGCCTTGTAGTCAGCCACAGAGGCAGACCGATCATGTTGCAGCTGGGTCAAAACAATGTTATCTGGAGCGGGGGGGATGTTTGATAAAAGCTGCCCTGCTGCTGATGTCCTGCACGGGAACAATTCACTGAGGGTGCAAAGTGGCCTGAGCCACCGCAGGGATTAACTGCCAGGATGAGTCCACAGGGCAGCTCACTCGTGGCCCATCACCATCACCACTGACTCACACACACACCAACACATGAAGAAAATGTTCAAATCACAAGAGTGTTTTTAAAATTGATCTGCAGCCATGTAAGAAAGTGGTTTCCTGAAATTAAATTAACGACATCGCAATCAAATGAACTAAAGTGTGAAGAATGTGGAAATACAAATAGTTCCACTCAACAATCGCCCACCCTGAACGAAACCCTGGAGACATGTGCATATGTGTGTGTTTGTCTGTGGGGAAATCTGCGTTTCTACATGCCAGTGAGAAAGTAATTAAGTGAATCAGTCAGAGAGAGAATAAAACGTGTGTAACAAATTGACTGATCATTTAACAAAGCAAACTAATGAGCAATCAAGTCGGCTCGTCTGTGTTTACTTGCAATGTCCGATCAGAACCTTGTATCTTAAATAAAGTCATTTTTTGTTGTTTGTGGAAGTTAAATTACGTCTCTGGACAAACCGACGTCGAAAAGAGACAGATGGCGATCAAAACGATGCCGAAAGTATGCAAGAGGATGAAGTTACCTGGGAGATCTGAGAGCGCTCCTCTCTCTATAATGTGCTTCCTGTACAGAGTCTTCAAAACCTTGGCGCTGCCGAACCTCTTGAAGCGACTCTTTACGTTGTTATAATACCATTCGAGTGACTGTGTCCTTAAAATCCTGCAGACAAGAAAGACAGAAAGACGGAAGGAAGGGAGGTGGGGAAGACAGAAAAAAGATGATATTAAGTCAAAAAGAACAGATGGCAAGGACACAGGCAAGAATCAGATTTTATTATAATTACACCAGGATTATAACTTTGAGTTCAAGCCAACACTGCCACTGTCGGGTGTCTTTAATTATTGAAGGGTAGATAACCAGACCTCATAGACAATGATTTCAGGAAAGAAAGAGGGATAAAATTCAATAAAAAAATGACTGAGGCACGACTGCGCTTTTGTGTTATTGTCTACTTTTACTATATGTTTGTGTTTGCTGTCACACTGTCAAATTTAAATCCCTGCACTCTGATTTGAAGCAAATAATTGGCTTTTTAAGGAGATTCAATGGCAGTGCCTCTATCTCTCTGTGGAGGCTGAATTAAAGATATGAAAAGTATTTATTTACAGTAATATTGTGCAGGATCTAAGCTGTGAATTGTGATGTGCATGACAGCAGCTAATGCCTCCGTCTCTCAGATGTGACGTCACATTATTTTCCAGGCTTTTCCTCATTTCATGGTGCACTGCTGATTGGTGCTTGAATGCCAACCAGTCAGACCTCAGCAGCACAGAGCAGATGATTACATAAGCAGTAATTCATAACCAGCAGGGTTATGAAAAGCCCTAAGAAAAAGCGTTCCCTTTGCGCCAGCGTTGCCTCGGATTGCATGAAACTCGGCCAACTTGGTGCTTAATCACGCAGTCCCTCCTGCTCTCCTTTTCGCTTTGTCACACCACTGTTACACACATTAGGGAGGCTGAGCAAACACAACACACGCAGACAGATAAACACACACTGTGTTTATTTACATCACCATTTACCACGTAGACATTTTTGTCATGTTGTTGTTGCCGAAGAATGCTGCACAAATACACCTATGCACACACTGAGAGCTTACGGCACCTACAGAGAGCACATTTTTGCACTTTAATCCTGTGATGTTGCTGTGATGTTTTTGTATTTACAGATACAGTATGCAGGGATTTCTCCCAGCTATATCTGCAACCACTTAGTACCGTACATGCCAGGACGTACTTTGAGGTCCTTGGGCAGAGGTCTTTTGTCTGTTCCAGAAGCTCGGCTGAAAACTAAAGGGGACAGAGTGTTTGCTGTCAGGGCCCCGAGGCTCTGGAACAGTCTGCCCAAGGAAGTCAGGACAGGACTCTTTTAAGTCTTTTAAGTTTAAGTAAGTTAAGAGAAAGGGCCGGCCCCAATACCCACACTTCCCCTAGAAATACCCACTTGCACTTGGTTGTGCGTGTTCACCTAGGCTAGTGGTGTCCCAAAACAGAATTGAGGTAGTGGTTTCCAACACTTAAAACCCATCCTAGATTCCAAGGGAGCCCCGACCCACACTTACAACGAAGTGGAAGATGAAACACCTTGCGAAGTCAGCAACGTCGGCAAGTTTTGGAAAACAATTTGTTACTGTACAATTGGAATATAGGCTATAAAAACAACAGATGGTTGGACTAGCGTAAAATCGACTTACCCGAACAAAATCGATCAGAACTAAAAGACGTCGTATGCACCTCCTGTTTTCAGCATTTCTTCTCCGTTGATTCATCAGACGGAGAAGAATAAACACAGCACAAGCGCTGGAGCCGGCATTTTCAAACCTGAATGACTACCGGTATCTTGCGTTGCTACAACGCGTGACGTATGCCTGCACGTCAGCTACGTTGATTTGCATGAAATGGTGTCTCATTTCTTAGGGAAAGATCTCTACTCTAATATTTCTCACTTCCCTCATCAAGGGTTATCTTGCAAACGAGGGCACTCAATACCAAGGGCAAGATTTAAGAGGGTAGAAATGGGATTGGGCCAAAGTTTTCAGTCTGTTCATCTCACTTTAATCATTGTATTTGCAGCAAAATGTATCTAGTGGACTGAAAAAGCAACTGATGATTATTCAAGTGGCTACCTAATGTTTTATTTGTATTTGTAATATTAGTAATTTATATAATAAAAACTCGATACTTGAAACTGTGTGACGATAGGAAACTGCCACACAAAACATATTGCGATACTATGCTGTATTCATTTTTTTCCACCAACCCTAAATATAGTAAGGCAAAACGTCAAGCAGACAATTGTAGGTCCAAACGAGAGTGAATTGGGGTTGGCTTTCACTGCTGCTAGTGAGCACAGAAAGAGCAGCTGAAGAGAGACGGCGCTAAGCTTGAATGTTGCGCATACGAACAGTGACGAACAATTCTTGCATAGTATATACCTTTAACTACTGACCAAAAAACTTTAACACACATGGATATAACCCGGTAATTATGATGTCACTGGTAACATTATTATTATTAGACCATGTTTTGTCGAGACACTAAAGGCTGTTTTTCCTATGACCCGAAATACCATGATGATGAATTGATCCTGCTAACAAGTGCTGCCTGTGTTGCCAAAGCCGGATATAGCTTATTCCTCTCAGCCATAGACCTTCAAAAACACATCAATTAGCTCCACCTGTGTGACATGTTCCTTCTTTACAACGAACACAGGCACTGTCGTTTATTTAGAGTTAATCCCACATGCACACTGATGCTTCTGTTCAATGAAAAGACAGGCTGCTGAAGGTGAGGGTGAAAATAGCCATGCTAATAAAGGGATCCTGAGTGCCCCTGAGGCTGCATGGGCTGCCACATCCATCCCACCACCCCTCCTTCTTAACCTCCCTCCACTATTCCCTCCCTTCCTCTTTCTCAGTGGATTTATTATCCTCCGCCTCTATCAGCTGGGCTGCTCAGTGGGCCTCGGCTCCTTAATTTCATGCTACAGGTCAACCTAGTCATTCTAATGGTGGCTGCCGAGCTCCAGTGAAGAGTCCCGACTCTTTTTTATCTCCCTCTGGGCCCGAGGAGGAAGGCAAAGAAATTAATCTGGAAGAGCAACGCAGCGTCCAGGTGGCATCACGAGGCAGAAATACAAATAGGTTCCACCTGCACTCTGAAATGAGCTGAAGCCACAGGGAGCGGTCTTTGAACTGGAAAGGTATATTCAAGACTGACAGAGGGCTGTAGGGTTATGGTTATGAGATCTTATCTCAGTGGGTGACTTCAAATTTAGCAGTATGTCTGAGTGGCATGCGTGGTCACACCCTGAAAATGAAAATAAATAATTGACTGTTTGCTACAGACCTTTGTTACTGTTGCTAAGCCTTGTATTCTTTGTATTCTGAGATAACAGTGGCAGATATACCACTCAAAAAAATGAGTCCTTGATTTCGGACACTGGTGGGCAAAAGCATGCTTTTCATTTCTAGCTAGTGACTGTGGATTATCTCAGCTAAAAGGACAAAAATAACTGGCAGACTGATCTTAGCTGTAGCTGGCAAAGCTAAGGTTAGCACCATGAACTGTTTGAAAATGCCATCTCTGGCCAACTTTAAAATGTCTCCCACGACTCACTTTGAAACAAATCTTGAAAAGGGGTCTTAATATTGCACATGATGTAAGATGACCATATTTTTTCAAACACCTAATCCAGCATACTTAAGTGTACCACACGTTTATGCAAGCACACATATATGCAGTTATGCATGTACTTTTTAATCAGTATGACAAACATTTAAGCGCTTAGCACACCTTACTGAGTGCACCTTTCAACACCATGGACAGCGCCTCAACAGAAGACAAATCATGTTTTGTCTCCCAAAATCCATCAAAACAATCAATTTGAAAACAGTACAACAACACTCTAACACAGAAGACCAGCTGTACAGTTCATAGATCAGCATGACAGTTAAACTGTACTGACAGGGTCTGTCAGAAAGAGCTGCAAGCATCATAGCAACAGCCTTGACAACAACACATTAAATGATTGACACATACAGACAGAGCAGTATTAAATTCAGATGCATGGTGTTCTGTTTATATTTTTAAATTGGGTTAGGTAATAATGAGTGGATAAATGTCTATTTATACACGATGAAAACACTGTTAATTGTATTATTAATTTTAATTCTGGTGAAAACTGGTTGAAGCAAAGTGGATAAAATAATAAAATGGTGGGAAATCCAAGCTGCTTGGTTGAGGTCTGCGCTCTCTGAGTGCTTTTCTAGTTTCAATATGCGTGCATGAATGTGTGGCTTTGAATGTAGTTGCGAAGTGGTGCAATGCTGTCTTTCTTCTGCCTGTCACTTCCTTTTGGCACGAAAACAGATGATAAGTAAATGCAAACTTCAGCTCAAGCATCTGCTCCCTTCACTGCCACAAACTTGTTGAAGTTAGCCAAGCTTTCCCTTTCAGAGAAAAAGGAGAGGGATTTAGGACAGTGGGAGAGGCGTCTCGATGAATGAAGCATGACATTGCTTCCCTAGAGTGATCTGATCTAAAAAAGATAGGAAGAAAGGAGGAGAGTGGAGTGGATAAGCTTTCAAGCAAGAGCTGCACTGCTGTGTGAGCTTCTGCAAACACACATTTCATAATGAGGCTGGGAGATTCCCTGATGCTCGGTTGCTGCATGAATAAGTAAGAGGGATTCCTGTGGATGGTCTCCTGACACTGGGTTTACCCTTCCTCTATCATCACTTTGCTCTAGCTCGAATGTGTGGAACCATGGCCTCCTTTCTAACCCTCTTCTCTCCAGCCCTTTTGCCCTCTATACTTCAGAAGATCGATTTGCACATTTAAATGAGGTCTAAATAAAATATATAGAAGAATATGTGGAAGTGCAATAAAAAGTATCTGGCTTTGCTGAGTTTCTACCTCCCCTGGCAAAAGGATCCATTACCATAATTGACTTTCTGAGCCTTCTAATGAATTGGTTCAGCTTCTGTTGAGGCTGCTGTAGAGAGGGGGAGCAAAGGGAGAAGAAAGAGAGGTGGGGGCTGACTTTAACAGAACATCAAATAGACTCCTCTGAAGACTAGCAGAGTGACTGTTCTTGTTAATAGAAGAAAATAAGACAAAAATTAGATTGTTCTCAGCTCCAGGGTTAGATCAAAGCGT